CGAATTAATAGGAGATAACGTCGCCAGCCGAGAAGGCATATCGCTGCCGTCCGAATTGGTCGGAGGAGATAAGGCTAGCTGTTACGAGGCGTGATCCCGTGAAATGTGGAATCCAGTGACGAGATCTTTGGGGTTATCATGTGGAGGTCGGTCAATATTACCCGAACTAATGCCCTCTAGGTCCGACCTGTTACAAACGCCGAGGTGCCTAGTAACCGAAGTGATCTTGATGCAATCGTGCCCCGAAGTGAACTTGTCCCGACGTGGATTCGCTTCTGAGGTGGGCCTACCCCGAGGTGGTTCGGTTATCTGAGCTTGGCCCGTCGTAGACTTGGGTACGTCGGGATGAACTGTCATTTTATCAGTTAGGTCGTGTTCACGTGTCCCTCTATTATTAGGTCAGGCCAAATCACCCTACATCACTATTTTTTTTGAAATAAATATTTATTGAAATTTTAATAATTATTTAAAATATTAATAAATATAAACTTAACATTATCGATTCCWTAATGTAAATTTAACATTACTATTTCCCCGTACTTAATAGAGGGTCATTCACTACATGACTATTAAAGAGAGAGAGGTATTAAGAATGATTTTATTAAAGAAGAATAATAGTAGATTTTAATAGAAAAATTTAATAAGTAAGAGGTTTTTTAATACTTCACAAGTGTGAAGGAGAGAAGCTTTTACTTACATCCCACTTATATTTTAACCCATCTACCTCTGTGAAATAACTTTTGCCACCCCAAACAATGTTTATTACTTTTTAGCCCCCACAAAAAAAAAAACTTGGTTCCACCCTTGTCTATGGTGAGAGACCCTTAGCCTCGATACACTCCTCTTTCTCTAGTAAGTGTGTGTGTTCTTTGCACATGACAAGTTTAGACGACGGTGATGAGAGTAATAATATGTTTTCTATTTTTTCAACAAAGTTTTACATTTTTGTGTATAAAATAAGTCTTATCTATCACGCTTAATTTTGTTTAATATGATGAATATATGATGTTATAGATGTGCCCAAATAATTTTTACAAAAATGATTCTTTTTGTAATTTTTTTGTGTTTTTGTTATTGGGTGGTTGAACACCAGAAAGCGGTCAGGAGACCAGTTCCATTTCAACTCGAAACCCCTTTTTTGCCAAAAAMTTGTTGAATTGACCAATGGCACGCTGACTTGGGTGGTTGAAACATCGATCCATTTTGCCCCAATAATGGTTTTGGAACAATTTTTATTTTACTTTTTTACTTTTTAAAATTCTTATTATTTTTAATTTTTTTAATTGTCATGGGATGATCCATTTGGATTGGAAGGTTGAACTGTTGACTTAGAATCCAATGGTCAAAGTTGTTCTAGTTCTAGGTTGGTTTTTAAAACATTAGTTTTTATTATTTTATTTTAATTTTTTATTTATTTATGACATCAAGGGTAGGGGTGGATTCGAGCCGATCTGAGCTGAATAGTTAGCTATTTGAGCTTGGCTTGCCAAGGTAGTAGGAGGCTCAAGCTCAATTTGAGCTAGAACCTTGAGCTCGAGCTCGGCTTGGTTCAAGCTCAACTTGAGAAAAATGTTTTATAAAAATAAAAAAATTATATATAAAATATTTTTATTATATAAATTATTTTCTATTATAATAATTTATTATTATTACTATTATTATTATTATTATTATTATTATTATTATTATTATTATTATTATTATTATTATTATTATTATTATTATTATTATTATTATTATTATTATTATTATTATTATTATTGTATGTATGTATGTATGTAACTATTCGAGCTGGCTTGATTAATAAACGAGCCTGTGAATTGGGCTCGAAGCTTGGTTGAAATCGAGCTAAGCTGAGCTCAAATAGCTCGTGGCCACTCCTAATCAAGGGCTAACATATTCAACCTAAAAGGTTGAATTATTGACTTACCAACAAACATGGAAACAACTTCACTTTTGGGTTAATTTTGAATTTTGTAATTCATTACTATCATTGATGAAAACAGTTATTTTTATTGCACTTTTTTCTTTAATATGATTAATAACATATTATCATCAATAAATATTAGAGATTTGCCTAAATGTTTTCCACAATTTTTTTTGGCAATTTTCATATTTTTTCTGTTTTTTTTTTAATCTTTTTTATTAGGGAAAATTTCCGATTAATACATTGTACTTTGTGCCTAGTGCCACTTTGGTCCCCGAACTTTAAAATGCGACAATTTAGTACCCCAACTTTCAAAATGTGACAATCTAGTACCTGCCATTAATCAACAGTTAATTTTCCGTTAAGTGACATTTGAAAAGGACACAAATGCYCTTCGAGTGTCATTTAATTTTTTTTATCAACCATTTAAATGYTGACAAAATATTAGCAGTCCCAAATCCTTGCTTCTTCCATTCAAGAAAGTTGGGGTTATGCTTGAGTGGGTATTTTGATGACCCCAACTTTCTTGAATAGAAGAGGCAAGGATTTGGGACTATTAACTTTTTTGTCAATGTTTGGATAGTTAATAGAGAAAATTAGATGACACTTGAAGGGCATTTGTGTCACTTAACGACTGATTAACAGCTAGTAAATGATAGGTACTAGATTGTCATGCTTTGAAAGTTTGGGTACTGAATTGTTGTATATTAAAGTTCGGGGACCAAAGTGACACTAGACCCAAAGTACAAAGTACTCATCAGGAATTTTACCTTTTTATTATTTATTTATGAGATTAAGAGCTTACACATTTGAGCCTAAAGGTTGAATTGTTGATCCACCACAAAATAGGAAAACAATTTCATTTTTGGGCAAGTTTTAAATTTTGCATTTCATTTCAAACATCAATAAAAGATATTATTATTTATCATACACATTTTTCTTTAATACGATTAAAATAAAGTATTGGAGGTGTGCCTAGTTTTCTATAATTTATTTTATTTTTTGTGTTTAATTATTTCCATTTTAAAAGTTTTATTATTTAACTATTACATCATGGGTTGACCCATTTGACTTGGATGGTTGGATTACTTACCCAACATCAAGATGGGAGATTGGTATCATTTTTTGATTGGTTTTAAACATGGTTTTTGTATTGCTAAAAGCAATAGATTTAATCGACAAAACTCTTTTGAAGAAAAAGAATGATAAAATTTATTAGTGAAAAAAACCCTAAATATAGGACTTTAATGAGAGAGAATGGGAATTAATGATTTAAATATATAACCTAACCAAAGGGAATTGAATGATATAAAAAGTAGTTCAAGTTACATTTTTTGCCATCACAACTAGAGAAGGGCCAAATTAAAAAATAAAAATATTTTAATCAAGAATAAAATGGGGGTATTTAATTTTTTTAAATATAAGATTTAATGAAAGGGAATTAAATATAATTTCTAACCCTAACAATGAGAGAAAGACCTGATTCAAAGATAATGTATTTTACTTGAACACAAGTTTCACATCACATGAATTTTCCTATAACATCTTCAGAGATTTTTTTTATTCATCAACATCTCATTTCAAGTTAACATTTAGCCCATTCAGGCATCCACTAAATGGATGTAAGCATGTCTTACACCACTGGTGCCCAGTCTGGCCCATTCATCAAAAAGTAAAACATCCACCAATGTTAAGCTTGTCCACCCTGTCTACATAAAGGAGGATAACCCAGAATAAAACATTTTTCATACATGTATATTTGTCATAAAAGAGATATTCCCAATGTATGGTTCGATTTGTATGAAGCTTCCAGAGTAGGATATTTGTTTGCAGGGAATCATCCGATTCCTGATGAGAATTGCATCACATCTTTAACTGTAATGTGAAGTGGACAAAGATGATTTGAGGAGCCCAATCTCCTGCCAGCAAATTTTGTATCCGAAGCCCAAGCTTCTGCTGATTTATACCGTGACCATAAGAAGATAGATCCCACGCAAAAGGTGCATATACAGGTTTCAGATCTAATTTAAAGAACCGAATCCAAATCCAGAATYACTAGATCCAAAAGGCTGAAACATAGCAAAAACCGGATTACAACCGATCCATTAATGAATCCAAGTCCAAACCCATTAAAGGAAGACATAAACCACATCTCGATGTTGACCTGCTCCTTCACTTTAACCCTGCATGAGTGGCTGTAATGATGACTCTGTTCATGGTTGCTGTGGTATAATTACATCCAAATGCCGCCTTAACACTCACTTTCCATTTTTCGTTTGTGGATACAAAATACTTTAATGGCTATAAACGGTAACTATGGCCTATAAACTATATACAATAATCTCTAGGTAAGGTAATCTCACGTGCTTCGCTTTAAAGAAGTGCTTTGCACGTTAGAGCCTAAGGGGATGCCATACTTCTAGGGTTAAAATATTATAATAGACCGAGTTGTTAGATCGATCGGTCTGCACCCAGATCGACTCTAACCACTGGATTTGTGGATCATTTCTTCACTTTGACGTATTTCAAATTTTAATTTCGCCTTTTCCCCTACCCATCCGTTCAATCACATGATTAATATAAAAGTCATGTAGATCGGACGGTTGCCATAGTATTGTTTGTCCAATTCAGTGGTAATCCGGTTCAGGCGTACGGCCTTAGTGGGTTGAGGATCCTATTGGGGGGGGGGACCACGGGCTATGATAAGGTAATAGCCCGACAGCAGGAGATTATTATTCTCATAAAGAAATTCGAAAAGTTCCTATCGCACGTGCCGGCGTGAATACGGAAGAAGGAAAGAAAAAAGAGGTCTGTTCTAAATCCGACGGTCGTATCGCCCCGTCAAACCTGGGAAAATCTTAATCATAATCCGATGGATCAGAACTCTCCTTTCAAATCAAACCGTCCAAAGTTTTCTGGCGACATTTCTTAGGTTAAAAGATGTCAAGCAGATAATATCTGTTGGATTTAATCGGACGGATGTAATTGAAAAAAAGCGGTACGTTGGGAAGCTCGTTTCCCTCAAACACGATAAATAAACAACGAATTCAAACCCCTCAAACGGTTTCCACTTTCCAGGTTTAGTCATCTCTCAAGTCTCATCTTCTTCTCTCGCCCTTCTGCTAACCTGCGCCCCTGAAACTGCTTATCCTGCGCCGCCTGAGATGTCTGAGACATTCCCCGGTACTTCCATCTCCGTTATAAGAATCTCGCGGTACAGAATGAGCCATTAAGGAAGAAAAGAAAGAGGAACGATACTCAAATCTCAAAAGCGCCATGGACAGTCAGAAGAGCCAGAGCAAGCTCACAAGGACCCAATCGTCTCTCCTCCGGTCATCTCCAACCATTCGATCTTCCATCCACAGTCTTTCTTCCATCCATGACGAAGAGGCCGCGTCGGAGGAAGAGAAGCCACATAAGTCTAGCTCAGGAACACGAGTTGTCACTGGTTCGAACCGGGTTCTCCCTGCTCTGGCCATGGCGTCCCTGAGCTCCTGTCTTTGCATGTACTTCTTCTTCTATCTCAGAAGGGAAGAAATACCCACTTCAGAGAATCTGTTACTGGCGATGATTTTGGTCGCCGTTGTGCTCTATGTGGCCGGAAAGAAGGGTTTTATCATCCAGACCTCATTGTTTCTGAAACATATCTGGGATGAGAAGAACAAAAGGTTGGGGCTTTCGAAGAGTGGGGGAGATTCTGTTCAGTGGTTCATCGGCAGCAGCGACGGTTCGTCGTCGTTCAAGAAAGAGAGGAAAGACAAGAAAATTATCAGAGAAGGTGTGGAGTTCTACAGCAATGGCGACTTCTACGAGGGGGAATTTCACAAGGGGAGCTGTAATGGGAGCGGCGTGTATAATTATTTTGTGAATGGGAGATACGAGGGGGATTGGATTGATGGGAGGTATGATGGGTACGGCATCGAGAGCTGGGCGCGGGGGAGCCGCTACCGGGGACAATATCGGCAAGGGTTGAGACATGGCTACGGGGTTTATCGATTCTACACAGGGGATAGCTATGCAGGGGAGTGGTGTAATGGGCAGAGCCATGGCATCGGAGTGCAGACCTGCTCGGATGGGAGCTGTTATGTTGGAGAATTCAAGTGTGGCGTCAAGCACGGCCTGGGTTGCTACTATTTCAGGTAAGAAATTCTCTTTCTTCGAGTTTGAGCCTTGTGTTTTAATGTTAAATACTCGAAAATCAGTGCTGATATTAGTGTTTCGTTAAACACTGTATCTGTTTAGGATGATAGTAGTGTTTGGTGTTCTTGTTTGAGACTTGATGAATAAGATCAGTCTCAGTCAGGGACTAGGCAAGTGGAACTGTAAAACTCTTTTCTCTTGATTGTTTCCATTTAAATTCTGGTGGGTGAAATCTTTGGAGCATGTTAGAATCTTATGCCTATAGAACTACCTACTCTCTTACCACTGTCAAATTGCTCATAGAAAGTACTGCAATCAGGAGCTTGACTCATACAGACTGTAATATTGTGGAAACCTTTTTGTCTCTTGAAGTTAATAGCTGAATTGGGTCATCTGAAGTGCTTAAAATCAATTAAATTCTGTTGAAGTAACCAAATATTGATGGGTAAATGTAATTGTGGTGCAGAAATGGAGATCGGTATGCTGGAGAGTATTTTGGAGACAAGATCCATGGATTTGGGGTGTATCACTTTGCCAACGGCCACTGCTACGAGGGTTCATGGCATGAAGGCCGGAAGCAAGGGTTTGGTATGTACACATTCCGAAATGGAGATGCAAGATGTGGAGAGTGGGACTCTGGTGTCCTCAAAAACCCCCAACTCCCATTAATAGATGGGGTCCTGCGTGCAGTTCAGGTACATTGCTTGCATTAATTTCTCTTTTACTGTTCTTACCTCATTCATGTTCTGGGCTTCAGGCCAATAATGCTTCAGAAATTTTATCTCATTCCCTTTTCATTAAACCTCAGGCAGCTAGAAAGGCAGCAGGGAATGCCATTAATCTTCCTCGGGTGGATGAACGAGTGGACAAGGCAGTCATGGCCGCTAACAAGGCTGCCACTGCAGCTCGAGTTGCTGCTGTCAAGGCAGTTCAGAACAGGATGGATGGAAAATTTTGTGACACAGAAGTGTAACAAACAACAAGCCTGACTCTACACTGTAAATTTACTGAATTATTGTCTTGTGTTCTGAAGCTAAGCCACCTGGGTAGGCAAAAGCAAGCCCAGAGAGAGAGAGAGAGATAACAAAAGTAGATGCTGGTCTGGTTAACATGTATATAAATCCATATTCAAGATGGATTTTCAGGGGCTGTTTTTTTCTTGTGGTCCATCTTCAGTGAGCGTGTATGTGCAATGATGGGTTCAGATAAGATTGAATGTTTGATCTCAACACAGCTTAGAGCTTACAATCCAGTCTCTCGCATCAACATTATCATGACCCTGTTCATGTATTTCATTTATTAAGATCAAATTGCACTCCTTTCTCCCTTCCCTGCATTGAAAGTAAAAGGGGGAATAAAGAAGAGGGATGAAAATGACAGTGAAGACTAAATTGTCCTAGAATATGTATTACCTATTGGTGTGCCGGAAAAGGGTCTTTTCCCTAGCACAAAATTTCTTTCCCCCAAAAAGGAGGTCGCTTTGCTCGTGGTGTTTGTACATATTCCAATGGGGTTGATTCAGTGAAGCCTTTTGCATTCGTTTCCCCTTTCGTAGTCTTTAATCTGTTGAAATAGTGCAAAAGGGATTCATGTCAGCAAAGAATTGATGTGGGTGTGATGTGGATTCGAAGTTCTGAATCAGACTGTTCAATGGTGTCATGATGAATTCTTTTCCTTTCGTGGAAAGACATTGTTGTGGTCTAAAAGATCCTCCTACCAACAAACCGAAGTCCTTTTTTTCCTTTGTCTATTCTACAGATATTTGAACAAACAACTAAGCTCTAGTTTCAATCTTCACCGCCTCTCTTTTTGGGGCAATCAAGGGGTTAGGACTTGGGAGTTGGGAATTTGTGATCCTGCCAAGAAAAGAAGAGGAGCATTTTCAGGGATTTGGGCACATCACAGTTTTGATGAAGGTGACACGCCCCTAATTATCACTAATAACTTTTATCATCATAAACATAAACAGGGGTTCCTTTGTCTTCTTGTTGGGGATTTGTCTATTGTCATAAAGAAATAGGAGGCTCCCCTGAGAACTTTATTGAATGTTTTGGTGAGAACAAAAATCTTTGTTTCTTTTAGAAGGCATAAGAAGTGACTATGCAAGGTTGGTTTCCAGCCTTGCTGATGTAGAATTGGCTTGTTTTGATGAAGGTGACACGCCCCTAATTATCACTAATAACTTTTATCATCATAAACATAAACAGGGGTTTCCTTTGTCTTCTTGTTGGGGATTTGTCTGTTGTCATAAAGAAATAGGAGGCTCCCCTGAGAATCTTCATTGAGTGTTTTGGTGAGAACAAAAATCTTTTGTTTCTTTTAGAAGGCATATGAAGTGACTATGCAAGGTTGGTTTCCAGCCTTGCTGATATAGAGTTGGCTTGTTTTGACTCAATTCCAGTATATGGGTGGAGGAGTTGCTCAACCATCGAGCTTCACAGTGACAGTTGTTCAAACACAATTAAGAGTCGGTTTGGTTTGTGGTTGGAATTGAAATCGGAATAGTCTATTTTCATAGTCTGTTTGAGTCAGATAAAAATAGAAATGAGAATTGAAATCAGCAGGAATGAAATTTTATTTCCAAGAGAGGGGCAAGGAATGGTCATTTACTCAAATGGGGGAATGCCATTCCAACAAGAATAGGAATGGAATTCTGATTCCACCTAATCAAACAGTTAGAATTGGAACACCCCATTCTGATTTTGATTACAGACCTCTATTCCTGCAAACCAAACAGGGGCCTAAATGCATTTTAACTAATGTTTGGTAGAACAAATCTCAACCCAAATGTTGTTCCTAAGCAGAGGCTAGAGGGTTAAGGACATCAGTATCAAACAGACATGATGGTCTTATCAATATATCCAACCCAGCTAATTAAGTTACCAATTCAAGTCTTCTCCCCTACTTTTACAGAAAAAAGTTTGGTAAATGTTGAATCATGTTCGTCGAACAGAGCTTTAATCTGGGTGATTTAATTTTGTTAATTTCTTGGTTGGTTTTGGTTAATATTAACATTAGGATCCCATGTGCCACCTTTTCCTTTGGTAGGGTAATGTTGGTTGTCTTACAATGAACTGGTTGAAGCACATGGAGGTGGGTGCTGGGAATTATGTTGTGAAGAATAATAGCTTTACCTACATGGTTGGATCCACAGCTAGTGTTAAAAGTTTTCCTTTCCTTTTCTTTAGGATCCGGTTTGTTTGTGATGCAATTTCATTTGAATTGGTGCAAAAGTAAGGGTGTGCAATTACCCAAATGATTTTGGTGGAAATTCAGTTTTATTTTTGTTTTGGCCTCTTGCCTTATTTTGTCTGTTATTGCTGTTGAAGGAAAAGATGAAATCTGAAGCATATTAAAGTAAAACTAAACGCAAGAGTGAACAACAATTTGCATTCTTCTCATTTTGCACTTTGGTTATAGTGCAAATTTCATATGCATTAGTGAAATGCATGGGAATGCAAATAGGCATAGTGTAAATTCTAGTTTACTTATTCATCACACCTGACTTTATCTTACTTGTTTATAAGAAGTAAAATAGGAAGAAAAATGATGTTATCCCCACCTTAGATGTAAGAGATTAGAGATAGGAAAGGGTTATTTGTTTAGGAGGTAGGAAGCAAGATGATGTGGTCCCTATTTCATACCATCTTCATCAATTGGTAATGAAAATTCATACCATCTTCATCAATGTGGTCCCTATTTTTCTACTTTCATTTTCATCAATTGGTAATTAGGATTGATATGTTTCTTCTAAAAACAATTATTTTATTTCTCAGGACCGAAACCCAACTACTCCCACCATGCATATCACCGTTATAAATTCAGCAAAGAAAGTGAGATTGTGGGAAGGTGTGACTTAGGATGGCTTTTCCATCTTTCGTACTAAATGTTGTAGATGGGTTTGGCTTGAAAATCCCAATGGATGCTGATGACCGCTGCAATGACTAAGCGTCGTCCATTTATTATTGTTTTGGGTTTTCAATTATGTCTGTCTCTACATCTGTAATTTTAAAACCAAAGCTATGGCTATAGTCTTCCCATTTGGTCAACCAGGGAGGGCTTAACTTCTGAGCAATTGGTGGCTCTTCAAATGAGAAATGTTTTAGTCTGAAAGAGCCCACTGAATCTTTGATCCCATCAGCACAGTAGGAGCAGATCCCCATAAAATGTTTGTTAACAACCAAGCTGCAGTTTTCTGGTTGGAAAATTGAACATTTTGACTCTTAGGCTCAGTTTGGAAGTAAAAAATCTTGTATTTTATATGCATTTGCAGACTCTTCCCAAACTGAGCCTTAATTTCTGTTTCTTTCTTTTCTTTTTCTTGTTCCAACCTCTAAGAAATTGATTGTCATTATAATCATTTTACTTCAGATAAATAAATAATATTAAACATTTTAATTTGTAATAGATTAAATTAAAGCATTGACTCCCTCGCTCTCTCTAGATTAGCATGTTGTGCTTAGCTACATATTCTTTTCTAGTTTTAATGAGCTATTACATGAAAATACTTAAAAGCTAATCTTATTAAAGTACATTTTGATCAATTTATTTCTCATCTTTCAAAAGAAAACAAATTTAAGGTTTGGAATCGGTTTGGTTGGACAGAATTGGAATTCCATTTCCATTCCCGGTGGAATGGCATTCCCCCATTCGAGGGAATGGCCATTCGCTCTCCCTTCTTTGGGAATGAATTTTCATTTCAGCTGATTTCAACTCCTATTTTTATTCCTGTATGAACCAAATAAACTATAGAAATAGATTATTCCAATTCTAATTTCAATAGATTTTAATTTTGATTCTGAATACAAACCAAATGGACCCTTAAACAGAAGAAAAATTATTTCTTAAACAGAAGAAAAATTAAGAAATAGGTTATTATAGACTAGAGAGAGAGATGTTGATTAGGACAATATACAAGTGGCTGATCCATAGCGGCTTGTTCAGATGGAAAGTGTGACCATGACATGCAATGTCATGCCTCGGTAGAGCACTCCGGCCCAGCTTCCTGCAGAACTTATTGCTTTACACTTTATTTCATCATGGACTAATTGTGGGCACAGGTTTGTCAATCCAGATGCCTTGACTATTTTATTTGGACTTGTTCATATCTTTCTATGCTCTACTAATTTGCTCGGTTTTATTCAAAAAGAAAAAAAAAAGAGCTTTGCCACGTGTCCAAAAACACTTATTTTTAAACAATTTTTTAATTAAAAAGATTGAAACATTGGATAGACAACATTAAATTGGTAAAAAACTACAACCAATCAATTGTGGGGCATGGTATTGGGCCGCTGGGGGAACCAAGTACATATGGATAACCCAGGCCCACTTATCTGATGGGTTATCTGGGCTAGCCACATATTCTCTCCAAGAAGCTTAATTGACCAAATTAGAGTCCAGAGTATCTTTTACATCATAACTTTTCAAGAAAGTCAATACAAGCATTTTTTTAGTTTAATAAACAAAATTAATTTAAATAAAAATAAAGCTACTACTTAGTATTTGTACTTAAATTAAAATAAATAATTTAAGCTTGATTTCATGTTCACCTCATGTACTATTATGTCCTTTGTCCTTCTAACGTTCCAATCTTTAGTTAAAACTAACTTTGCTTATATCATTATTACTATATTCATATATTAAATAGTATATTGAAGATACATGAAAATTCATTGATACTTTAGACCAATAGAATGAGCCTAAGATAATTAATGTGGTTGGATTCCCAAAACAATGACTAAAAGAACTAGTTTCATTTGATGGGGTAGTTTCTTGCACAGAACTGAACTAGTTTTCTCTCTGAGCCATGCCTATAAGTTTCCCATTTGGTGAACCAGGGGGATTCTGAGATATTGGTAGCTCTTCAAATGGAAAAATAATTTTACGGGCTGAAATAACTCACTGAATCTTTGATCTGGTCAGTACAGTTGGAGCTGATTCCCATAAATAAAATAAAATGTTTGTTAAAAACCCAGATGCAGTTAAGACTCTGAGACCCCCCCCCCCCACATGCTATTTGTACAAAATTGTATAGAGAGAGATGTTGACTATGACAATATACAACTGACTGGGGGCTAGTCTGGCTATGCCATGCAATGTCATGTCTCGGCAGAGCAATCCGGCCTGCAAAACTTATTGCTTTACACTTTTATCATGGACTATTGTGGACAGARGCTTGCCAATCCAGTTGCTTTGACTATTTTAGTTGCCACGTGTCTAAAAACCACCCTTACTTTCTAAGCAATTTTTTAT